GGTATTAGTCAGAGATTGGTCATGTTTTTTCTTTCTGCTGCCAAATGCGAATTTGGCTTCGTGACTGTTTTTATAACTCAGGGACATTGTATAAATCTTTAAATTCATATACAAGTGATCTTTCTTTTTTAATAATGAAGAAAAAAGGTTTTACTTTTCTTTTGCTTGTCTATGTTTCATTTGCTGATATAAAGTATTTGTTCTTGGTGCACTGGGATACAAACAAAAGCCACTTTTGGCGTTGTTGGGTTAGTGTGTTTTTTTTTTTTTTTTTTTTAAATAAGGAAACTGAAAAATTATCGATACAGTCAGGGATCACGAACATTGTTAAAGACTCACTTGGAGATATGAAACAAGTAAGCCATGAAGTCTTCTACCTTTGCAGAAAGTTCAGCGGAGGAGGAGATTTGGAGACGTCCAAGTTGACTAACAGGGCAGAGCTGTGCGCGCCATCTCCAGAACGCTAAGTGTGCTTTATAATACATTAGGGCAGAGTTTGCTGACTCCAAGCGATGACTGAGACATTAACAGTCACTGCTGAATTATTTTTTTTTTTTTTTTCCCAATACTTTTTCCCACAAACGATATCTCCCAATCTCGTTCGCTGCAATGGGTCTGATATTTCAGTTAAATCTCATTAAGTATTTATATATTTATATATAAATAAGTATTCTTTTTTACACATAATACTCTTTGTCCTTGTTTTTCTGTTTCTTGTGGCCGCTCTTTGAGCTCTGCTGCTTCTCCTTCACGAGCGTGCCGTTGCTCTGGGCTGAGTTGCTGATGTAGTTCCGCGTCTCGTCCACCTGATAGGACCCCTCGTCCCTGTTCCTGTACTTGTACATGGCGTACAGGAGGATGAGGATGCAGAGGGCGGCAGCAGCCACAATGCCGACGACCATCCCCGTTGTGCTGCTCGACTCGCGGACCACCTCTGAGGCCCCCGGAACCCGTCTGATTCCTGGCTCCGTGGGGTTTGCTGTGGGCACATTACGGAACATGGGGGAAGTGATTAGCGGGCTCTTCAGCTTTGTGCTGTCTAGCTCATAGGCAGTGGGCAACGGAAGCAAGACTATGTCAGGCTGGGGTTTGAGCTCACGGTTATTCATTTTGCCGGCTGGCAATTTGGGCACCATCCCAGTCGAGGACGAAGCTGTGGAGCGGATCAGCTCAGGGGACAAAGACGTGGTAGTAGTCCTACCAGTTTCGGAGACTTTGTTAGGTCTAAAGTCCTTGGATTCCCACTTGGGTGCGTGTGCTTTGTAGCCACCTTCGAAGATTGAAGTGGAAAGACTCTTATCTGTTACCAAGGAGAAGGTGGTGTAAAAATCTTCATCATCAGTAGGGGGTAGGTTAGAGTCAAAGGTTTCCCCTGAGCCATACCCAGATATCACCAAGCCATCATCATCACAACCATCGCTGCCTTGGTCCGACAAGCAAGGTAACCCCGCCTCAGAGGTCATGGACAGGGAATCTTTGGTGGTCTCAATAATGGTGAGGAGGGGGCGAAAGGTAGGGGGAAGTGTAATGAAAGGTGCACGAGTAGCAATAGGAGGGATATCTAAAGGGTCTTCTACAAGTAGAGGGATAACTAATTCACCTCCTGGGATGGAAAAGAGAAAAAAAAAAAAGAAGATTAGTACATTTTAATGACACAATGCACCATTTTCAATTCTCTTAACCCGGGGGCGAGAGAGGATTTGGGCGTTATGAGAAAGTGTCAGGGAGGAGGTTTTTTGCCCTAACTATGCTGCCCACATACTTTCCCAGGGGTGCCTTCCATTCTTCCCTCCCACCCTTCTTTGACGTTGGTAAACTGCATGTTCCAGTTCCGTCTCCTTTTAGCCTATGCTAGGTACATACAGTGAAATACTCTGAATTTTTTGGGACCCAAATTTTTGATTTTTTGAAGATACTCTCAAGTGACTCTGTGTACATCAGTTTTTGGTAGTGAACTTTCTTAAGTATTTAATTACAAGGCTGTTTAAATGAATTCTTACAGCTTTCATGAAGCAATGTTCTCCTAGATGGATTTTTACCACTCATCTTGCCTGTTTTTCCTCCTCTTATCCTTTTTATTTAAAACAACATTGGTATCTCTTCTCTGCCATTCAAGTCTGCTCACCCGCCGTAACAGTTTATAAGGCCTTTCCCTAAGGTCTTTCCCATCCATGAAGTTCTCCTTGATTGTTGCCTGGTTTTTAAATTGAGAGAAGGTTCATGAAAGTTGGGGGTGGAATAAGAACCAAGTACTTACTGGGGTCCATGAAGGTACAGAGCTCTACTCAATGCTTGTTTATCTCTTTTTAATCTTACCATTCTGTTGAACACTAGGGATTTCCCTTTCCTTACATCTTTTGGGGCTACTAATGCCACACTATCTTCATCTTCAGTTCTTCTTGATATTCCTTTACTATAATTTGATTAAAAATTAAGATAGACTTTATTGTTATTGATGATATAACTGAATAAGGACACTGATGACCCAAGTTAGCACTTGTGCCCAGGAGTGTACTGCAGAAGTTGTCTTCACACCTGCTGTTACTTCTTGATAGGCAGACAGCTGGGATCAGTACTGCTGTTTACTAACGTGATGGCTACCTGCCTACAGAGGACTGAAAATAGGCTTTACTCTTGAAGTAGAAAAACAAAGCTACAGCTATAGCTTTTGTAGTTTATCGCAGTATAATCCGCAACTGAAACAAGAAAATCAGTGCATCATTTCTATGATTTGGTTTCTGAGCAGCAATATTGCTACTTTCAGGGTAGCACTCCTGTTTGTAACATGACCGTACTCCTCCTGAGCCTCTGGGTCATTAGGACTCCAATGTTTTACTCTGATGTGGAGGCACAGTTAATTTAATTCTTTTAATTCAGATTGCACAGTCTTCTGCTGACGTACAGGTCACTAACACTTTTTTAGGGTGAGCCATGTTGCTTTTGAAAGTTCATCTGATGTATAGTCATCTAGATGTGTCGGAAGGAGTGCAGCTCAGTAAGCAGAATTTCTAATGCATAGGAAAATTTGATTTATACTCACCATTGCTTAAGGAAAGATACACAAAAGAAATTTTGCTTCTAAATAAATAATTCTGGCTTTTACTTATGTATTAAGAACTGCTAATGAACAGTTTAGCATTGTTACAATGCTGAACAGCATCAGGGTCAAAATTCTGCTCTCTCTTATCTACACTGTATGTTACAGGCACTTATTTCCCATTGAATACTGCCAGTAATGTCCATGGGAATTCTATAAAGAATATGGTCTAAAATCATAATCCCTTCTAAATATATTTGGAGAGCAATATATTTGAACAAATTACATATTGAAGATAGCAATATACTGAAAAAGGTACTTAACGGTTTGATTAAATCTGGATAGCTGAACTAGCAATATGGCTTATTCTTATCCTTAATGAGAAACTAAGTGGTGACACAGTTTAATCAATTGAAACAGATTTATCTCAGAGGTACCAGGGTAGAAATTAGGCCAAAATAAGAAATGCATACAAAGTTAAAGTTAAGATATAAAGGGCCAATTTAAATATGGTGTTTAATTTTCTGAGCTTCTTCAGTATGTTCATACCACTTTTGTTACTGCATAGAGAATGAAGAAATAAGTATATGTTTAAAATAACGTCAATCTCTTCAAACTATGTATCTTCAAAAGATTATGTAGAAAACAGAAAGTGTAGTCTGCCAAATGGCTACACGGCATTTTTTCCTCATGCGTCTGAGCTGTTTTCTGTGCAATGTAGAAACTAGAGCATGTAATATGATTTATATATGTCCAGAAGCCCTATCCGTGGCTAGAGTAGGGCATCTATAATCTATGCAAACAGGTGGTCTCAGGATAAACTTGGAGTGTGCCTCTGAGGGAAAGATCATCCATGAGTCTGGTAAAAATGAATAACAATAATAGCATTTAAGTGTGCATTACATTAAAATGCATGAGTGGGGAATTAAAGTCCCAGAAAGTCAGGGATAGGTAATGTCCCTTTAAATGCCTTTTTAAGATCAGTCTTTTACTGTCAAAAAGTGGTATTAATCTGTGATTTTTATTTACTATCTGTGGCACCCTATTGGAAAAAAAAATCAGTTTGGTAGCTTTTAATTGCTCATGGAGAGCCTTGTAGTGCCTTTGTTATTAAAATCTGTTATACTGGCACACAGTATCAGTATGTAGTTGATCTGCCACCCACTGGGGCAATATTTTGGGCAGTTTCCTTCCAAAGATAAATTATTTTGGTCCTATTAATTATTAATTTTTCTGAAGGAATCAGAAATATCTTACATTTAATATGAAGACCTTTCTTTTGCTCCAGTAAAACTAGGTCATAGTTCTACAGTTTTTCTTGCTGTCAAGGACTCAAGCCAATGATCAAGAGTATTGCAACTTTAAAAATGATCATGGTCTTCCTAAAATGTTAAGAAAAGTTGATAGCGTTGCTATGGTAAGTGGGGTTTCACATAAATGATGGAGAGCAGATCGGAGCTTTTTAATTCCAGCAAGTCTGTTGGATGGAATAAATAGGACAGAATCAGGAATGTGTGTTATAAAGCTTTAATCTCACAATATATGTGAGAAGAGAAATAACTTCCATATCAGAATGATTAGATTAACTTTGATTTCCCATTCAATTGTTTAACCTCATGTCTAGTTTTATTCCAGATTGTCCAATAATCCATAGTATATTTGCCTGCATAGTATAAAGAGACTGTTAAAGGTCCTTCATTAGGAATCACTTCTCCATCAAGGAGTTAATTTGTTACATTTACTTAAGACAATATCTTAAGTAAAGTATCAGGGAGATGGTGGTAAGGGTGGTAATGATGCTTTGAATTTTTTAGTTTTCTTTCTGTCTGTAATGGAAGATACTGTGAAACTGAAAAGAAAAAGCTGTGTGGGAGAAGGTAACTCAGAAAAAGCACTTTAGGTATCAAATCTGGCTTCTGTTTCATTGGTATGTTAGGCATCTATGCAAAACTCACAGCAAGCTAGAAGCTGTAGGTCTAATAGGATGCAAGCACTGAATGCTTCTTGGGGTATATGATTTATAGAGAAGTTAAAACATCCTTTAAAATGGTGTGATAAAAATGCCACTCGGTCTAAAAGAAATGTGTTATTTAAGGATAACAGGGAATGTAAATTCTGAAAAGCTACCAGGAAAGTGTGAGAAATGTGAACACCAACATCTATGGAGGGGAGCAAGTGCAAACTTTCATATCATACCTGCAACCAACTCGTGTTACTGGTACTATATTTCTACTCCTAAGAGACACCAGGGGGAGTCTGGTGACAGGCAGATGGTAAGTGTGCTCTAAGGGGAACCACCTTTCACAAAATGACAGCTGAGGCAGCAGGAAGCTGCCTGGAGCCAGTGGTCCTTTGATGGAGAAGTGGTGCCTCTTGCCCAGGGCCCGAGGTTGGTTTAAAGGTAAGCACTGAAAGATTTAAAAGACAGAGTGCCATTTGGTTGCCAAGAATATCTTACGTGGGGTTTGGCTCCTGAAAGGTTTGCTGTGGAAAGTCAATTATTTAAAGATTTGGGTCACTAGAAAAAGCTAAAGAGGAGCCCCTGAAAATCCTCACATGGCAATTTGGAAGGGACATACATTTGAGGCAGGTTTTATGTCTGTATTTTCCTATCTGAAGTTTTTATTTTTCTTGCAGTGTCTACCATTTTTCCAATCACAAAATTAATGCTTTGCAGCCTTGAATAAAACACAGTTTTAACTTCCAAATTGTTCTGTGCTTAAAAAAAATAATAAAAAACACAATTTGGGCCATGGCTTCAAAATGTATGATTCTGTTTGTGGATGCCACGGGCCATTTCCTGGTAGTTACAGGTTTTTCCCCCTTCTTTCTGTTGGCTGTTAAGCACCAGTTAACAGTGTTCACTGGTATGCTGCAAGCTCAGCGTTACTTTAGCAATCCAAAGATTTCACAAGGATTTTCCAGATTTAATTTTCACCTACTTTGTGCTTTTACTCCTAAGCAGGGAATGGATGTTTTCCAAACAGAAATACGTTTTTAAAAAAGCTTCTGTTGACAGCACAATGCCAAAGGATTAAACAAAAGGGAAACGGATAAAATGGTTTCCTCTGCAGTGACATAAATACAAAATTAGTTCGCCCATCAATGGTATGGTTGCAAAAAATTACTGAACAGTAAACTAGAAGAAGTACTGAGAGAACTGAGGTCTGTGAGATTGGAAACCTTACAGTGAGCAGCCCAGTGCTCTGCCTGGCCTTCTCGTTCCACGAAGCAAACACAGCGTGCATATATTCCTTAAAAGTTAGCCTTTACATCTAGCACATATACTATTTTCAAGGAGTTGTGCTTTTCTTTAAACTACTAAGATCATTTGGGATATAAAAGGTCTACTTTAGCCTTGGAGCTGCCCTGCTTTTTGCTTTATGAGCGTATTTATAGATATATAATTCATACCTCTGGGGCTGATATCCAGTAAGAGTTCTCTGCCACTGGAATAGACAGAGTGTTAAAAATTTAATAGAAGCCTTATGAACTGTGAGGATGTGGGCGAGTCATGAATGCAGAGGGCACCAATAAAAAAAAAGAAAAGAAAACAACCTGAAAAACTGTAGCAGCCGCCAGCTTTCATCTTTAGAGCCACCACTGCTTCACTGGAGTCTCAGGCATCAAACTGATGCAGGACAAAAGGCACACAAAGCCTGAAAGATTTATCTTCTGCTGATGAAGATAAGGGACACACCCTTATCATCCCCCTCTTTTCCAGCTGTGGTTGAAAAGCTGCTGAACGCCATCCACAAAGGCTGCACAACTCATCCATTTCTGCAGGCACTTGAAATTCTGCATCCAAAATCTGTCATTTTCATTTTATTCTTATAATAATTCCTTACCTTTTTTCCTCTCTGCATCAACACAATAATTCCTTATTAAATGACTGAGTTAATAAATTTCAGTCTAATGGTGTTTTAGTTAATTCTTCTTTGAGTCCTCTGAGGATGAAAAGGGGAAATTATTCAGAACATAGTCCCTGATTCACAGGAAAGATGATGCTAATGCAAAACCTAGCAGATGAACATTCTCAATATTTTCTGCTCTTTGCAGTCTGATTTAATTGCAATTAACAGTCAGTAGTAGAGAGAAAAACATAACTTCCACAGTGGAATACTGCAACTTTTCATCTTAAATATCTCCTTTTCCTTTCAGAGAATATGTAATCCTCAAAGTGATTATATAAAATACTTACTCTGTTGGAGTTGGTTGAAAAGCATTTCCTAAGCCCCTCAAACTATACTAAAAGACGTTAGTTATTGCAGTGCTTCCTAATACATGGCTCATGAGCAACGGGAAGGTACAGGGTTTGAGGGGTCACGAACACCATGTTAATGCTGGGCTGTGCTTCATCACTGTATGTTCTTAGTCACCTTTGTGCAGTTTCAGTGAGACAGATAAGAATACCTTCCAGAGAGGAACTAACATGGTGTCTGCAGGCAGGATTCCAGAGCAAAACCAAGTAAAACCAATTGAACATGCCCTCTTCCATCTCCCGTCATTATTTTAAACTTTTATGGTTAATTGGTGACAGCTTCCAACTCAGCATAATTATTTGTTCTGTTTTCAGCATCAGTTGTTCAAAGGACTTGATGCTTGAACCTAATTACCTACTGTGCACAGAATTACTATGCAGGAATGGTGAAAACATACGTGGTTGTGAGGAAATACAGCTTTTTCTTGCTTTTACTTACTGTTTTACTTAAGGAAATGAATCCAAATCTCTTTTGAAGTGAGGAAATTTTAGAGGTTCAGGATGCGAGTTTCAGTAGGAAATTGTCTGTCAAATGTACCATTTTTGGATGACATTAGCAAGCCTGATACTGGTCATAACACGATGGGTGCATTTACCTGGTAAGAGTACACTTGAGAGTATCATTTAGACTGGACATCAGGCAGGTAATCAGCAATGGAGAAAATTGATAGAAGTAAAACACTTTCATGGGAATAAAGTAGGAATGATGTGGAGCTGCAGTAAGAAGACCCTGAGAGCTACCAAAATGCTAAAATCTCATCGTTTTTTACTTGACATAAAGGTTATACCACCAGGCTACATACAATTTAAGTAGCATGAAAGAAAGTAGCATTACTGGTGATTCTTTTGGGGAAAGGGAAAGGGGAAAAAAAGCTCTAGAGAGGAACTGAGAAAGAATAGGAGCAAACTACCACAGGCTCCTTTACCCCCTCCTAAGCACAAGAGAATCTGGTAATTGACAATATACAAAGAGCACATAACATAAAGGCAAATACAAACTGATTCAAAAATAAATAAATGAACTTATACATTTGTCATAAAACAAAACCATATACTAGAAAATAAAAAATGCCACAGCAACAAGGTCAGAAAAAGGAAAAACATAACAAGTCATTCATTTTAGCAGCAAAAGAAAGATTAAAACCTACAAGAACTGAAAAAAAAGATGAAAATCAAAAACATTATTTCCTTTAAAAAAAAAAGTAATCAAAAATACATAAAAATATTTAGAAAGCATACCACATTGATTTCGTAACAGTCAACTTACATCAACAAATTGCCCGCATGTTTTTTGGCATGAAAGGAAAAATTTACAAAAGAAAGTTGTGTAAGAATGCTCTTGGACAAGTAGCATTGCCACATTCTCGTAACTTGCTTTTTTTCGTTGTTTCTTAAAAACTTTTTTAGCAAAATGTTTATTATTTCTTTTTAATATAATTGTTTTACAACAAAGGGCGATACAGGGAGGCAACAACACATACATCCACACCACATAACATGAAAAGAAAAAAATCTTGCACCTTAACAAATTTGAACTTGTTTTTTTTTCTGCTGTTTTTTGGTTGTATTTTTTTATCTTATGTAAAGTTGTTAGCATATTACAGTTGAAAAATCCTGTACACTTTATAGAATTTACTTTTGCTTGTTTGCATATCTACATATATAATGTTTTTTGAAAAGCAAAGTTTGTTGCTTTTTTGCCTTTTTGGTCAATTTGATATATATTTTTTTAAACATTTTCTTTTTTTCTATAATTTTTGTGTGTGTGTGTTTTAAGGAATGGATGACTGCACATAAAATTTTAACAATGCTAAAGAAAGGGGTGGTGGAGGGGAACTTATGGGAAGAAAAGATGCCTAGGGTGGATGGAGTGGGGGTGTAAAAATCTATGAGTGTACTACACAGGAGATGAAGATGATGGGAGTGAATGTGTAAGTCAGTTGCCATGTCCATGTAAGGGCGGTACGGAGTGATCTAGCAGCATTAGAGCTTCTGGCTGTAAGGAAGGGATGGGCAATATACAAAAACAAATGAGCATATTCATGCCCATCAACAAAAAGAAAGAACAGAACTCTAACATTGACAATCTCACAAACCCTAAGCTGCAACTTCTTCAACATGCAAGTTACAAAAAATTAATAATTATAGTATTAATATTTACATTTTCATTAAAGGTTCTCAAATTATAAAAACAGTTAAAACGTTTCCCTACTAAAAATAGCAGTAAAAATACATAAACTAATAATAATAATTAATAATAATAATAATAATAATAATAATAATAACCAGAGAGTAAAACAAAAAAACAAGGAAACTAGTTTTATGCATTGGAATTAGAACAACTTCATCTGTAGCTACCCACAGCCTCCTTCTTAGAATCATCTTTTCTGAAGTCCATCAAATTGACATCGGTATTCTCAATAATTTGAGACAATCATTTCTTGAGCACATCAAATCACTGTTTTGAACAGAATGACTGTGTTGGTACACCCCTTCCCCACTCTCAAATTAGATTACTTTTATATTCAGATTCTCTAGAGAATCTCAAAAATGCAGCTGTAGGATTCTGCCAGTGAAGTAGTTCCTTATTTAAAGAGGGAAATAGAGGGAAAAATTGCAGAAAACAATTCATAACTCTTTTGTTTTGTTTTGTTTTTCATTATTAGATTGGAACAAACCAAATCTAAGATAGAAATTCAACCATTGAAAAGAAATACATCAAAATATAACTATGTAGAGATATACTAAAAAAAAAAGCAAAAAATGAAAAAGAGCACTTTGTTCCCAGGAAGAAGGGAGATAAGAACAATTGTGGGGTTTTAAAATTTTATTTTTAAAGAAAAAATTATTCCACAGACTTTCAAGGATGAACAAACCAGATGCACACATTGAAAGGAACAGACAAAGCAGTCTAGGGACACTTTCAACATTTTGATATTTTTTTTTTGTTGAGAATTGGATTCCCTTCCCTCCCCCTCCCATTTAAATTTGTTTTCAATTGTTGGCCAAAAACCCCACCACCCTCCAGTGTTGCTTTTTTTTTTAATAGATCTTTTTTTTTTAATCACTTCTTTTTAAAATAAACATGGAGAGGAAAAAAAAAAGAAAGGACGTGCAGTCTGGATGTACGTCATAAATAGACATAGAAAAAGATAGAAGAAATTGGCTGAGATCGACAAATGGGTTATATAATAGCTTAATTTTACTGTAGGATGTTAATAATAATGCATGCTTAAAGTAAGTTGCATTTAGGGAAAGTAGAAAAACAGAACAGCAAGCAAGGACTTGGGGGGCAGGAGGGCAGAGGGGAGGGTGGGGTGGAGAGGGGGTGTACCATCCATGCCTTTCCAGAAAGGGCAAAGCACATTCCAGCGGGTTCTTTACATTTCTGGGGGAGGTCAGAAGAGGAGAAAGGTGAGGAGAAATCGTAAGCTATGTTAGGACACACTTTTCACCCTGGCTATGACCTTGTATTTGGATCAAGCGCTCAAAACTCCAGACGCCAGCCCTTATTCTGGCACTGTCTCTCCAGGGCATTCCCAAAATGAGTGGCATTTATTTTTCTGCTTAGTCAGACTGGGCTTATTCCTGTAAGTGCTGATCAGCTTGAGCAAAGGGTGAAGAATTAGTTCTTGCAAACACACTCTGCTATGCTGGAAAAGGCTACGGCTGTAGTGAATATTTATGTGAAGTGGTGAGCCATCATTCAGGCGTGCTGGCCGTGGTTACTGCTGGGGACCCGCCAGTTACCAGTATTTGGTACTCAGGCCACATGATTTTACAGAGGGGCCAAACCTGCCACTGCTGGCGTTAAGACTGAGACTAGTTTGTCCTATGCTACTAAAGGATTTAAAGTTCAAGAAGATGTTATTAATCAGTTCTATCTGAGTCTTTACTAAAACTGGATCCCAAATACTGTATTTCTGAGAGGGGGGCTTGGCTTCCTCTGAATTCCCTAGGCGATACATACAATGTCCGTATTTTTTGTGTTTTATACACGACCATCATCCTGACATCAGAGTCCTTCTAAGAAGGAACTCAGGACCCCAGCAAAACAACCAGTTCTGTCTGGTGTTTTAGGAGAGGGAAAACATTATATATAAAGCTTTGGACCCTGTGGATGGATCTCTCCAGGAGATGGGAAAAGCAGGCTGTAAGCACTGTGCGTACCTTAGCTTTCCACCAGGAACGCGAGATGATTTCATAACCCATCAACCCATAAAGGTCATGCTGCCACCCATCAGTGCAAGTGGGTGGCTATCTTGAGCTTGAATTTCTGGGAAGAATGGGCCTATCCACCCTCTAGATGTGGCCAGGGGTACTTTTGTATAAATACAATAACAAACCGGTAGGGTGTTTTGGGACTTATTAACTTAAGGGACAATAGCACCTCTAAAGCCACTGAGAGATCAGCATTAGTTCTGGGGAATGTTAATTAAGCATAAACCCCACAAAAAACTAAATAGCCCAGATTGGTTTTAGATGCATTACTGAAAAGTGTCCAGTTTTGAGAGGTGTTATGTGAGAAGACTCTTAACTCCTACTTTAGACAAGATGAAGGTTGCGCTGACTACCAGCACAGTGCATCTGTAGCTGGAATGTACCATGCCTCTGCTGGAAGACTGCACTGGACCTATCTCCTACATCCCTTTGGAAGACTTGTTAGGAAGGGAAGAGGTCCGACCAAAGAAAAGGAAACCTGGTCAGGGTGATCTCAGGGACAGAACATGCAGGTTATAGGAAGCAAAACATTGGTCTACATAGGAAATTTGGGGGATTCATTTGTGGATCAGAAAAGATTGGCTAGGAATAGAAAAAAAATGACAGAAGTGAAGCCTTTGCAGACCTCAGTGGAGATTTTTATTTGGTAAGGTTTCAAGGCTAGTGTCCCTGGACACCACTCCCTACCAGGATTCTGAGGCTCTGGTTTAATTGTACTTAGGGAGTTTCACAAAGAGGCATTTAAGCTTTGAATTTTAATCAGTATTTGTCATGACTTGCAGCTGGATTTTCAGAGCAGTGAAATATCCCCCTTCGGCACATTAGAATTGAGTGCCTTCTCTTTGATGCAAAACAGACCGTTAGGCATGGGTCTGGTTGCCAACCGCGCAGTCCGTGTCAGGCCACTCCAGCAAATACTTATGCCCTATTTGATGACAAACGCCTAACTTGTTGCATGAGGGTCTGGAAAAGCCTTTTACTGCCTGAAAGATCAAAAGAGCTAAAGAACCACAACTGGAGCCAGAGACACTTATAGAGATGACAAGATTTTGTAAGGGAAATCTTGATGTTAGACTTACAAGAGGATTTGAAGGGTGCTAAACAATTTTTTCTTCACTCAGTCAGTACAGAGGTGCTTGAACAGAAGCAGAGTTCTTCGGAAAATCTGGGTCCAGCAATTTCTGCTGAGGCTAGGAAAATATTCTCCAGCCTTTTAAAAAATCTAGCTGTTAATAGTCAAAACTAGATGTCCTAATTTGAAAATTGGATCCTAAATGTTTCCACATGAAGCTACACAGACAATATTTTATTACTGAACATTTAGGAAATTATTCCTCAGAAAAGCAAAGATTAAAAAGTATAGCCATTGCAGCCTTTTTTTTATCTTCAAAAACTTAAAGTAGATCCAAGAACCGGGAATAAAGGAATCTGTACTATCAAGGTGTACAAGTTTCTTGTTTGAAGGACTGAGCCAAGACAGCCAACTTTTTCAAATGAAAAAATCTATATTTGAAAAAGGAGACATTTTTACAAAAAGCCCCTTGCTCAGCAGCTTTAATTAATTTGTATTTTCTCATTTTTTGTTTTCAAGTTGCATTTTAAAATGCTGCTGTTGAAGGTAATGTCTATTTCTGTGTATTTTAAGGAGCAAAATGATAGATGGCAAATGAAGATCTAAGGCTGCATTACTGCCCCCAGGCTCATGCTAACCTCTGGAACTTCTGTGCCTTCTACCACTCTAGTCCTCGGGCTCCATCAAGCTGACGGTTTATCTCTTCCTTAACACACCGATCCCTACGTTATTTGAGTTCTGTGCACTAAAACACAACCCAATCTCATTATCAACCAGCTGTACCAGCTGCTTCTTCTGACCTAGTTGTCCAGTTATACTGTTCATGAACTTCAAATGCCCAGGATTCCCTGCTGGCCTAATCATGCATCCTCCTTATTTGGGATATTTTTCTTTCTGTATTTTTATGTGCTGTAATTGCAAAACAAGGATGAGGCCAGGAAATTATTTTTTTAATTTTTTTGGTACTTTGACCTAATTAGGATAGGACCCAAGACTCTCAGTGCTAAAAGAGAGCGTGCATTTTACCACTGCATAATCTGGGCTCCCAAACTGCTGTTACCTTTGCAAGTTTATATATCATGCAGTACCCTCTTAGGGTCATTTAAAGCCACATGCTTTGGGCAAGGATACTAATGACACAGATTTCTAAGCAGCTGATACTATCAAAATATCAGTGAAAAGAAACAAACGGAGGATTCCCAGTGAACTGGAAAACGTTCCTTTTCCTGTAAAAAAAATACCCACAACATAGAGAAAAAGGTACTGTTAGCTATGCATCTGCTTTTAGCTTCAAGATATGTTGGCAGCATGTTCTCCTCTGGCTAAAATTTTTTGGTGGCAGAAATATATGTTAAATAGATAAGGTGGGGGAAAAAAACCCTCCACTTCAGGCGTGTGTCTGTACACCAAGGAAGAGAAGAACCTTCCCAATTTCCAGTGATTTCACCATAAAATAAATACATACACAAACATGGACTAAGAGACTTGGTTCTCTCCCTCCCCAGAAAAATGGTTAAGTGCACTCTACAGCTGTTAAAAGTTAGTGAACTTAACTCTTCCTAATATAAATACCAGAAATGCTAGATCCAGCAAGAAACCCTCCTAAGAGCTATAGATGCTGCATGGCTTTTCTGATTGTCCACAACTCAGTCATTATCTGGCATATTAGGAAAATGGAAGAAAACAAGCAGAAGAGGGGGGAA